TAGATAGAGTGCTGCCGAAGTTTCAGCCAGATCTATTGAGTAGTTCCATTTTTATTATCGATTAAAGTTATAACAGGGATACGCACGTGACGCGCGTAACAACCGCCGTCATTAGAAAGTAATAAGGAAGATTACAGGTTAACTGATTAAGAAGCGTTGTCCAAGCAGCACAGTTATGCCGTTGTGGGAGCGGTCCAGCTGCTAGGCCTCCTAGGGTCCCGCGGAAAGCGTCGTGCTCATTTGCGCTGGAAACATGAAAGAAGTGCGCAGTCGAAACGGGCGATGGGGAAGCATGAAAGAATAGGGTTTAAAAGAAGCAAGCAGTTAGCATGAAATAGATCATATAATAATGTAAGAAACGGTTAATTGACAATAGCACACGAGCATATATAATAAAAGTAAAGCGGCGCTTTGCAGAAGCGCAGACAGTAGCGTTGCAGTGCGGGATAGAGAGAGAAAGTAGCAAGGAGGGGAAAACGAGAGAAGTCGTAGGCACTTACAGTTCCAGCCGTAGCTTTCTAGCCCTAGCTTAGGTGTTACACAAAAAAAAGGTGGCACCCTTGTTGTGTTCAAATATCAGCACGCGCGCACAAGTCACTTTCCCAGGCACTGTACGGATCTCAGTCACGAAGGAAGAGGAGACGATGTATAGCTAGACTGATGCGGTGAACAGCTTCTTCTTTGTTGATGCACTCAAAAAACGTAAATGCACGAAGTGATGACGATGCGCCTTGCCGTAAGATGCGTATGCATGATCGCGTGGTTGAATCTACTCACTGTGTCCTCCATGCGACCCCCAGGCGGCTCTTCAGTATGTCGTGATTTGTTGGAATTTCTTCTTCAAATATCGACTGTGAATCTAACGCTGTGAGGAGATTGTCACGTATATCCGCCGGTAATACATTCGATCGCAGAAGCGTAACGCATAACTCGTCGCATCGTAATCTTGTGCGCTAGTTGTCAAAATCCTGCGTTAAAATGAATTCTGTTGCTGTGTACTCGTCGCTTAAGCGCTTGTATAATCGATTCGCTCTGTCGTACATAAAACCGTTCGTAACTAATTCTAAATGCGTCATAACATTGTTGAACCCGTCGCTAGGAAGATTCTTTATCCACTCTGCCACTCTTTTGTCTACATTTTCCTTAAAAATCGATAATTCGTTTTGTAATCATTGTAATTATTGTCAATGGTAGTTATGGAAAAAGGAAAAAATAAATAAATGAAAAAAAGGAAAATATCGACAAAAGTAAAAATAAATAATTTAATAAAATTCGGTTCGTAACAATTAAAAGAAAATTATTTTGTTAAAGAAAAAAATGAAGATTCTAATTTACTTGGCAAAATGAAATAAGAAAATGCGCGAATTTATTCGATTATACTATTTGCTTTGCTTGGATATTCGAGGGCCCCGCCTTATTTACACGCAAAGTTGAGTAAATTTTCGCTCGTAAGATCGCTGTGTTTAATCATGACCGCGCATGATATTCGTTTTATTTGCGTATTCCAAACGCATATTCTTCGGTTGGTGCTATGTTGTTATTCTACCGCAATTCGACCCTTCGTATTATTGTTGTTGTCGTTTTACGTCCATGCAACCAACTCAGATTCAAATTATGCTTCGTAATATGCGTTCTTACTTTGTTTTTCACGATTTTATTTGGATTGCGAATATATTTTTCAAGTTAATAACGCAAGTTTTACCCTCTTGAACACGTTGGGCGTAAAATTTCTATAACGGGAAAACGCATTTAACGCGCGCGACACCGCCGTCATTAGAAAGTAATAAGGAAGATTATAGTTAGCGGATTAGAAAGCGTTGCCCAAGCAGCACAAATATGCCGTCGTAGAAGCGGTCCAACTCCTAGGCCCTCAAAGAGCGTCGTGCAGCTCACTTGCATTGGAAACGTGAAAGAACGCAGTACGCAGTCGCAACGGGTGATGGAGCAACGGGAAAGATTAGGATTTCAAAGAAGCAAGCGGTCAGTATGAAATAGATAATATAATAATGTAAGGAACGGTTAATTCACAATAGCACACGAGTACATATAATAAAAGTAAAGCAGCGCATCGCGGAAGCGTAGTACCGTTGCAATACGGGAGAGAGAGAGAGAAAGAGAAAGCAGCAAGCCGAAAAAGAAATAGAGAAGTCAGAGGCACTTACAGTAACCGGCCGTAGCTTCCTAACCCTTGCTTAGGTGTTACACAAAAAAAAAAGAAGGCGGCATCCTTGCCGTAAGATGCGTGTGCGCGATCGCGTGGTCGAACCTATTCTACCTTCTTCTATCGTGTCAACCATGCGAGCTGCGGAAGGCCAGCGGCGCGCGGCTCATAAGCGTGTCGTGACTTGTTGAATATCTCTCTCTCCTTCTCTCTCACACGACTTGCCGTGATCGGCTGCTTTTCCTCTCATGCTATTGTCAGCTGCGCTAGTAGCTAAATTTATTTACAATAATATATGTATATGGCTTATCGTGAAGAAAGAGAGACATAACCAGAGCTAATTGGACTCGTTATATGCCCCTCCCTAGCCAACAACATCCACGACATTGTGTTTAGTAAACGAAGAATAAAATTTCGTGAAATAGCTAAGGCCACAGGGATTTCAAAAAGTACAGTCATTTCGATTTTTGGTGAGAAATGGGACATGAGAAAAATTTCGGCAACATTGGTGCCATATTTGCTCTCAGTCAAGAATAGACGCAATCGAATAGTGGCCGCTGAGGCCCTCTTGGCGCGCATCCACCGTAATGCAGACGGCTTTCTACGATGATTCATAACTGTAAACGAAACGTGGATACACCACTACACTCCTGAAATGAAGAACCAGTCAAAACGTACATTGTGAAAGGTCACCCAGCTCCAAAGAAAGCGAAGACAGTGAAATTGACTGGCAAGGTTATGGCAACTGTTTTTTGACAGGCACGTAGAATTATCTTTATCGACTATTTAGAAAAAAGAGAATCACAAGAGAGAATTATACGTCATTGTTCGATGGGTTAAGCGAGAAAATAAAGGAAAAACATCCTCATTTGAAAAAAAAAATTCTGTTTCATCAAGAGAATCCACGAGTGCACTTACTTAGTTTCTATGGCTAAAATTAAGGGATTGAAATTTAAATTAGTAGACTATACACTGTATTCACCAGATTTGGCCCCTAGTGAATTTTTTTTTCCCAAACAAGAAAAAAGTGGCTTGCTGGACAACGATTCATCTCGAATGAAGAGGTCATAACACAAACAATGGCTGTTTTGAAGAATTTCCAAAATTATTTTTTTCTGGTAGCTTAAAAAAACTTGTAAGGCGCCTGAAAAAATGTAGCGAGCTAAAAGAACATTATATTGAAAAATAAAAAAAAATTTAGAAGAAAAACTATTTTTTTATCTTTTTCGAAGGACTTATTGACCCACCCTCGTACTACTATAAACAGTACACGCGGACCTTATTACTAATACTAACAGCGAACAAATCGTGAATTGCCCAGCAACCGGATCGCCTCGACAACCCACGTTTATAAAGAACCACTGTTCGTACAAAAAACTCTCAGATACCCGACGAGTGAACGCCTAGGTACCGAGTATTACCGTACTAAGCATAACCAATGAAATCCGAGAGAGAAACAGAGAAAGAGAGAGATAGAGAGAGACAGAAAGAGAGAGAGTACCGGACCTTTTTCATCCCTTGCCGGGTGATGCAGATCTTCCTAGTTCGGCGCTCACTGCTGGGCAGAAATACATTAAAATATTGCCGTCCTTGTGCTAGCTAGGCGCCTGTGCAGGGCCAACATAAATGTGCCGTTCGTGAATTCCTCGAGATATTCCTCCAGGTAAAGAGTCGTCAAACGGACTAGTAGATCTTATTTTGGCGAACGAACTAGATATTGCTGCTACTTTCAGTATATTTTTATTTAGCAACATCAAATACCTCTGTATAAATAATAAAGTCGATCCATTTTTTTGCTATTTCGAAATTTCGCTTCACAAAATTCAATCCGCCATTTTAAATATTGTAAATTTAACAAGGTATTCAAATTCAGCGACCAAAAGTACCTGTTATTACATATTTACAAATAACTAGTAATGTAAATACAAATTTTATAACCTAAAATGCAAAAAGTGAAGCTGAAGACGCTAAGTATCGGAAACCACTCAAACATTTTGAGCTATCGTACGGTTTATTTGGATGCTTTTAATTTGGTTGAAATGCGATGGTTAAGTTAATGCAAAATGGGTTATACGTATATATATAACACAGGCCTGCAAGGTTTTGTTCTTTTGCAACTGAGGGTCATTTCCGAAGTAATTTTTGGATAATAGTATTTTTTGGATAATGATTCTAGAATCATTATAAAAAAAAAAACTAAGAAATATATCGTATTCTTCCAGGAAAATTGGCCGAACTTTTAAGCTCATGGTGAAACCTCAAAAATGGCAAACTTCAATTGATGATATCTTGATGAAAAAAAATGATATCTTAAATTTGAAAAATGGGTTTTGAAGGGTAAGAGTGCTTCTTTAAGATGCCGTCAACCGTTTTTGAAAAGAATATAAACTCACGATGTAATCAAGCCTTGAATATGGCCAAAAAACGTGTTTTTTCGACCCTTAGGGGACGATTACTCAAAAACCTGACGTGATGAAGCAATTCTGACGACGGATTCTAATTCTACGCCATAAATTACTTCGGAAATGACCGTAAGTTGTAAAAGAACAGTGACGACTCTCTATTTTGCAGGCCTGTGTAATTCATGATATAAAAATTATTTATTTTTTAGTTACCGTAATCAAATTCTCATTGATTTCCACGAAGTTTTATAATTTAAACACAAATCATTCAACAATATTTAATTCAAAGTTTATACAGAAACTTTCATTAGTGATATAATTAAAGAAATCTTCCCTTCAAGTGCTTGTAATTATGACTTAATTGTAATGGGAAGAATGAAAGAAGTTGAGAGAATTATAGGAATATTATAGGATCTTTAACAATAAAATGTACTTACTAATATTACATAATGGACCACCAAAACCGAGTTCACATTTACAAGTATTTGGACTGATACATGTTCCATATAAACATTTTTCTAAACAAACAGCAATACATCTATCTCCATTAGCAATTTTCGTATAACCTTTGCAGCATTCTTCTATTGGCTTTTGTTTTTTGATAGTCTGAAATTTAAAATAGGTCACTCAAATATTTTAAAAGAGCGAGTCGCGGTGAGAAGTCGTTCGAATCCACTCTAAATAAACATTATAAGTGTCCTTCAAATGAAATCACAACTTTGCCAAAACAAGAGAGTACTATAACAATATTACAATAATACTTTATCAAATTCAAGTTCGAATTCTGATAAATTTGCAACTTAACTTCCTGAGACAAGGACATACATGATAGAAAATAATGAGAATAATAATTGTTACGAGAATAATATTACTAAATATTTATTTTCTGTTATTATTAATAAGCAGTACTGCTTAACAAATAAAAAAAGTACTGTTAAAGTAATAAAGACACACACACGCTTTTACACACACATGTATGTGTATAGAAGTGACTATTAGCAACAAAATTAGTATCAAAGGAAAATAAATGCAGCCTTACTAGTTGGGCGCTCACTTATGACTAACTACCCTCGTCCTCGCTATTACTCTGTTCACTTAGTTTTCTACTCTTTCTCCTTGACACACTCTCTATGATTTAAGCATTTTTAAATGTTACCTTAATCTTCGGTAAACACGCTGACTGTAGCATGCTACAGTAGTACGTGCGATCTTTCCTACTTATTTTCGTCAAGGCGCGCACACATGTGCTGCTGACCATAGCATCTTATCTCTATGTTCTTGGCCTTGGCGCGACGCAAGCTGAGCTCTCGCAGACGAGTTTTCTCTCTCACTCTATATATACATATATAAATATAAATATATATATATATTTAGGCATATATAAAAAAAATATAAAAAAAACATCCTTTCCCCGTTAGAGCCGTTGCCATCCTCGGTAACGTCGATTAGGGGTCCATAACACAGTAACTTACGATAAATAAAAAAAATTAAGTATAGTTATTGGTAATATTCAAGTTCCACTTTATTTATATAAGAGAGAAAGAGAAGAAAAAAAAGTAATGAGATAAAAATGGTTAAAAGAGAACGATTATGATTGACAAATCCTGAATTATAGTCCTGGTTGTGTGCATGGTCGTTGTAACGTGACTTGAAGGATCCCTTGTAAAGCATTCATATCCAGTCCTTTCAAGTCTCTTGAATAACAGCCCTGGCCCTCCAACAAACTATGATCCCGATTCTAACTAATGGAGGGGTTCCTGAAGAATAGAGTGAGATTCTCGATGTCACCATAAGGGGTCCCATTATAATCGATGGTTTCCAGGTCACAAGTCTTCAAGTGACGGTCACAGTCATTGAGATAGATACCCCTCCCACAAAACCAATCGGTCCGCAGTACCTTGCGATTTTGAAAACCGCATATGATTTTATACGATTCGAACTCCGTTCTCGTATATTAATGTTCGCATGCTTTATAGTAAATATATAGAGATCTATTTCAAAGGTTTGCTGGAACATAGCGAGATGGGCAATGTTTGGCCTTATATCTTCTATTTGAATTTATCAGCGCCGAGATGGCGCTGTAGCTTATGGGTCCGCAGGAATCATCTCATATTTTGATTTAATCAATTGAACCGAATTTTCCAAAAACGTCACACGAGGGTGGACCGATAAGTACTTAGCCTACAAAAGAAAAACAAAAATTTTGGAAAAGTGGCATTTTATTTTTCAACATAGTCTCCTTTTAGTTCGATACACTTTGCCCAGCGATGCTCCAACTTCTTTAATCCGTCTGAAAAATACGTTTCCTCGAGGTCTGCAAAGTAGGCTTCCGTGGCAGCGATTACCTCCTCATTCGATTCAAATTTCTGCCCGGCGAGTGACTTTTTTAAGTTTGGAAACAAAAAAAAGTGGCACAGGGCTAAATCTGGAGAATACGGTGGATGGGGCAGCAGTTCGTAGCCTAATTCGACCAATTTGGCCATGGCGACGGCGGAGGTGTGAGCCGGTGTGTTGTCATGGTGATAGAGCACTTTTTTTTTGGACAAATGGGGCCGTTTTTTCTGCAATTCGACGTCGAATCGGCCCGAAAATTCAGCATAATACAGTCCTGTGAATATTTTGCCCCTCTCCAGGTAGTCGATGTAGATCACACCTTGTGAATTTTTTGGAAGGGAAATCGCGCAGCGAAATCTAAAAGTGCTTGGATGCTGGTACGGTGACTCTTCTCCTTCGATGGCGATCGTCAAAAATTGGTTTAACGAGTTTCAACGTGGTCACACGTCGATTTTTGAAGAGCCACGTCCAGGTGCTCCGAAAACGGCTACCACGGAGGATAACGTGACAAAAATTCACGATATCGTATTGGCAGATCGACGATTGAAGGTGCGCGAGATAGCTAAGATCGTAGGCATCTCAAAAGACCGCGTGGGTCATGTTCTGCATGAAATTTTGGGCATGAGAAAGCTGTCGGCGCGATGGGTGCCGCGTTTGTTCACTCCGGATAACAAGCGCAACCGTGAGACAACTTCAGAGCAATGTCTGACGCTGTTTAAGCGCAATCCGAAGGAGTTTCTGCGTCGTTTCGTGACAGTCGACGAAACATGGATCCACTGGTATACACCAGAGACCAAGGAACAGTTGAAACAGTGGACTTTACCCGGCGAAAGTGCTCCGAAGAAGGCGAAGACTGCCCCGAACCCAACCCATCGGTGATCAGAAAGGTGATTGCAACCGTTTTCTGGGATTCACAAGGTGTGATCTACATCGACTACCTGGAGAGGGGCAACAAGGTCACAGGACTGTACTATGCCGAATTATTGGGCCGAATTATTCGACGTCGAATTGCAGAAAAAACGGCCCCATTTGGCGAAGAACAAAGTGCTCTTCCACCATGACAACGCACCGGCTCACACCTCCGCCGTCGCCATGCCCAAATTGGTCGAATTAGGCTACGAACTGCTACCCCATCCACCGTATTCTCCAGATTTAGCCCCGTGCGACTTCTTCTTGTTTCCAAACCTGAAAAAGTCACTCGCTGAGCAGAAATTTGAGTCGAATGAGGAGGTAATCGCTGCCACGGAAGCCTACTTTTCAGACCTCGAGGAAACGTATTTTTCAGACGGGTTAAAGAAGTTGGAGCATCGCTGGGCCAAGTGTATCGAACTAAAAGGAGACTATGTTGAAAAATAAAACGCCACTATTCGAAAATTTTCGTTTTTCTGTGTAGGCTAAGTACTTATCGGACCACCCTTGTAGTTCTGGATTACTGTTTAGCTTTTATATGGTGTAAGCTCGGGGTCCATAATAGACGAGGTGAATAAGGAGAGTAGTAAATAAAGTCAGATACATACTCAACGGTCTAGTGTGCTTATCGTATAGATTCTTAGATTTTTTCTTTTCACAGATTTGGTTCCCGCCCGCCAATATTCTGAGTTCGGTCAGACGTACAATTAAATCGCGCAGGTATCGGTATATGTACCTAGCTTATTCTCTCCTACAGTTTTCATAGGGAAACGAGTAATCTGTCCGTAACCTAACTCAAAGAGGGTGTAACTGTTTCCATTATACGAGGTGTGTTCAAAAAGTAAGGTGACTTTGCATTTTTAAGAAAAAATATTTATTTATTTATCAATATTTATGTTGCCTCTTCAAAGTAATCCCCCTCAGATACAATACACTTATGCCAACGGTTTTTCCAATCCTCAAAGCACTTCTCATAAGCACTTTTCGGTATAGCCTTGAGCTCTTCCAGTGATGCAGTCTTTATCTCTTCAATCGTTGCAAATCTCCGTCCTTTCATAGGTCTTTTTAGTTTTGGGAACAAGAAAAAGTCACATGGGGCCAAATCCGGTGAATATGGTGGCTGAGGCATAATTGTGTTGTTGTTTTTGGCCAAAAAATCTCTCACAAGCAAAGATGAGTGAGCAGGGGCATTATCGTGATGCAAAAGCCATGAATTGTTTTTCCACAATTCTGGGCGTTTTCTTCGTATTGCTTCTCGCGATCGGCGCATAACTTCAAGATAATACTGTTTATTGACCGTACGTTCATATGGTAAGAACTCCCGATGCACCACGCCATGGTAATCGAAGACAACAGTGAGCAAAATTTTGACATTTGATCGAACTTGGCGTGCTTTTTTCGGTCTTGGCTCATCTGGGCTCTTCCATTGGGACGATTGGACTTTATTTTCGATATCATAACCATATACCCATGATTCGTCACCAGTTATGAATGACCCTTTTGAGTAAATCTGGGTCGTCGTTGACATCATTCAACAGTTCTTGAGCGATGCTCATGCAACGGTTCTTTTCGTCAAAATTTAGCAATTTCGGAACAAACTTCTCTGACACACGTCTCATGCCCAAAACGTTAGAAAAAATTTCATGGCACGAGCCAAGTGATATACCAACATCCTCAGCAACTTCTCTGATAGTGATTGGATGATTCTCCAGAACAATTTTCTTCACTGCTTGAACGTTTTCATCAGTTGTTGACGTGCTTGGGCGTCCAGAGCGAGGCTCGTCATTGGCATCTTCCCGGACATCTTGGAAGAGTTTGTACCACTTGTAAACATTTTTTTTACTCAGAACAGTTTCACCGTATGCCACCGTCAACATTTCAAGTGTTTCGGAGCACTTTATTTTATTTTTTCACAAAATTTGATGCAAATCCTTTGATCCATATTTTTCGATAGCAAGAAATCGCCGAGCAAGCAAAACACTTATAACCTTTACGCCTCTCACAACTAAACAAAAAATGCTATACACTTGAAACTTGGTACAGATATTCGGGACGAGTGTACCAACATAACAAAACAAAAAAATCGATAATCGAAAGTACGTTGCCCGTGAAATTTGAAAAGTCACCTTACTTTTTGAACACACCTCGTATATGCTCGTATTATAGGTGAAAACGGCAAAGGGCATTAACCAATCCCAGTCATCGAATTGTTCCGAGTACATTCGTAGAAAATCAACTAAAGATGCATCAACTGAAGAGAGCCATTAGTCTGAGGTCTATATCCGGAAGTTGTTAAATGGTGAACTTTAAAAAAGTGTAGTAATGACTCCACAATCTCTGAAAGCAAACTGGTCCCGCGATCT